TCCGCCAGCGCCGTGACAAGTATATGATAGGGAAAATAATACAGAAAAGAGAGAAGAGAAAGAAAAGAAAGAAAATAATAATTATTACTACTCTTATATATTAACTACTACTTATTTAATTTGCTCACTATTTCTAAGCTTAGTATTAAGTTATTGAAATTATTATTACGTATTACCCTAATAGGTATTTTATTTATACTGTTTTGTTTAGTTTCTACTTTTGTATTTATTATATTACAGTTGAGAGTTTTAGAAAAAATATTATATTAGAGTGTTATAAAGTTTATAAAAGAAGTTGTACAATTGTATATGGAAGTAAAAAAAGCGGCTATAAGTATTCTAGTAAAAAAACAGAAGGTATTTGCATTTGCACTTGCATTTGTATCAGAGAAGGTATTAGAAAAGATATTTGTACTAGATAAATAATATGATTTGTTAAGTGATTTACTGTTTATTTAATTGAATAGTATTTTGGATTTTACATTTACATTGTAGTAGTAAATATTATTATATAATATAGTAGTGCAAATGCGTATAGGTTAGTTTAGTAGTAGAATACTATGGAGTCTGTCCTATAATATTTGCTGTCCTATTGAAAAATTTCCCCCTCTTTTATGAGAGGGAGTTGGCAAAAAGTCTCACTTTTCCCTTGACCGCCAAGTGGCATTCAATACATATTCATCTGACACCCAACAGCCCGGCATTGACTGGGGAACCATGTGAAGGCCATGAGACTAATGGCTGAAACCCCCTTCGCTATTGCGCTCAGGTGAGAGAGGTGAGAGTGTCGTACCTAAATTAACGTTCACTTGGCACTAACTACTGTGGCTGCCATGTTCTCTTGTGCAACTAAGTCTGATGTGTGGTGCAATAAACTCTGTGTACAGTACAGACAGGGAGGTAAGATAACGTTGGCGGCACATTTATCATCCATTTTTCTTTCTCTTGGTTTTCTTCCGATCCCTTTTAGGTTGTCGTCAACATCATCATGCAGGAATATTATGGTAGGCATCAGGTATTGGCATAGTGTTTCGGTAGCCGCTCGCTCACCTATCAAGTGAGTGCTTAGATGTGCGTGCGATTAGTAAATGAGTGATTGAGTAGTTGAGTGATCATCCGGAGGATGGTTCCGACTAGAGTAGATTTGATGCACCCCATACAATAATGTACATTCATGTACGCTACCTAAGTAGATACGAGTGGCCCGAGTAACTGACCCGGGTGACCCGACCGGCGTCTTCTAGGTAGGTTCAGCTGCGCGCGGGTTGTCAATCGTAATCGATAGTTCAAATCTTGGAGATCTTGGAAATTTCTTGGGATTTGTCTAGGTTGTCTAGGGTGGGAAGGTGTACCCGAGGACTGAAGTTCAGGTTTGCTAATGATGGGTGCAAAACTGCATATTGCGCAATCGATGGCTTCGTCGATGGAATCTACGCTAGGCCGGAAAACTCTGAGTACAGTAGAACTAGAGCTCGGCGGTTTGCCCCTCCGTTCGAAACTTTTTGACAGTTTCGGCTTGGCGAGTTTGAGTCCCGCGTAAAAAGTGATCTTGGCTTTTCGCTTACTCTTGCTGTTTAGGCGGGTTAGTTAGCGAGGACATTACGTTTCATCTTTGAACTGGTGGTCTAGGCTACCCCAATTTTTGGGATTTTTTTGAGGTACGTAATGTCACTACAGTGAACAGCAAAGAATTGGGGAGGACTACCTAACTTGTGTAAGTAGGATTGTTGTAAGGAAAAATCACACACCGAACGTAAGCACTGCGCACCGAAACCTCCGCGCCTCTTGAGGGCTGACGACGACGAGGCCGGAAACGACGCCAATAACCACGGCAGACTGAAACAGAAACGCAGAAAATGTGTACCTTGCTTCTAATCGGTTATCCCCGTGGGGATTTCGTAAGATGTGGCCCAGCGCTGAGGAGGGCGAGGCGCAGTTTCCGCGGCAGTAGGTAAACTTGTGGTTCCCCGTTTGTGGTTCGTAGTCCTTGGTTGCTCTTGGGCCCCCCTTGGCATGTCATGACAACTCTAACGTGGGAGGTGGTCACAATACCGAGTAGTAATACGGGGGTCCCGAACGGAGACACCAACCACCATCTGTCTCTGCCTTCAGCACTTGCCAGAGATGTCTGGGGGGTGTCCTCATTTTGAAACAAGCACTCAGGCCGATTCCGGAGTGAATCTTCTTAAGCTCACTGGCCTTTCCCTCGCTTTGACGATATGTTCCTGAGCGGCTGTACAAAAAGAACCGGAGCAAACCGGAGGCCATTGTGTGTGTCACTCATAGGTTTGCGACAGGACTGTTACGAAGCAACAATGGATGGGTGATGTGTAATTGTGTATCACGTCAGCTTTCGTTGACATTCCGTCTCCCCTTGTGTGGCTGGGCTGGATTGTTCTCTTTTCTTAACCACTCATCCACTGAAACTGCCCTGGATTTCTGCCCCTTATTTGATCGTTTATCTGGTCTTGGCTCTTGAGATTGCGGGGTGAGAAGAGGGATGAAAGTCTGGGGCACAGCCCGGGGTAAAACGAGTGATAAACAATGAGATTGGGACTTGGCAACGCTGATGCGCAAAACTTAAATTGATCTCGGTGGAAGAACAAGTCCTTGGCTTCATTGGTTGGCTGCCGTTGAACAACTAGCTGTCTTGGTGATATCATATCGGAGAAAGGAGGTCATGCTGGTGATGATACCGCTTTGGGATGACTCGGATGAGAACATTCACAAGGAAAAGTGTAAAGGAGGGCATTCAATGTTCAAAATGTCCAGGGGTCTGAAGGCCAATCTGATGCCATGTTTGTGCATCATCCCCTCTCTGTATTAGACAAGCTCTCGGCGTGCGCCGTATCGCACAACAAAGTCGCATCAGCAGATCTCGAAAAGGGGACATACGTCCAAGTCCATTACTTCAACTAGGTGGGTGTACAAGAGTTCGTTCGTGCACTCTCTCTCTCTCTCTCTCTCTCTGGTGTGTGTGTGTGTGTGTGTGTGCTCACCGCAACTCGTCGGCTGGTTTTTTTGGACTGTAACTGAGGCAGCCTGAAAGTGTTGTTTGGGTAATGGTTGGGTAGCGAGTTCTGAATAGTAATCGGGAGAAACAGCGAATGTAACGAATGGAACCGACGAGTATCTTGCCAAGGAATGGAATGAAATGCGATGAGTGCAGTGGCAGTGACGCCGGTGATGCAATCGATCTCCCCAGGGCCCACAGAGCATCTGGGCCAGATGAGGTCGATCATGAAGTGACAAGAGAAGGTTTGAAAGATTCCTGTTTCATAGTTACAGAAGATCCATCCCGTATCGGGCGTCAACGGGTTTGACAAAGGTCAATCAGGGCAAAGTGTGAAACGTAACTCTGTGGAGAAGCATGCTTGGTTATCCGTTTGTTACGAGGAAGGGCCGACGTCGACTTACGAAACATCACAATATTTTCTTGCCCAATAGAGAAGCAATCAACACCTCGATGCTCAACCATGGTACCCCTTTAGATTCAGAACCAAGGGGCAATTTGTTGGCGGGGATGGAGGACATGCTTGTTCCCGACAGCGGCGCAGTAGGTGGAAATTAAAAAAGATGTTATTTCGGGACGCTGATTTCGGAACTGGTTTTGTCCCTTCCTGGGCCTTCCATCCGTCAGCCCATCGGTGATGAGATTGTTCCTCCCTGTTGTGACAGCGATGCCCCACTGCGGAGACATAGGAAGACACCAACCCCCACGCCCCACGGGGTATCTGAGTTTAGCGCAAATTCTAGACTGAGGAAGGTGTAACCCCACAATCAACCACAATCAGGAGCTCACCTAGTCGTGACTTCTCTTCCCTCTTCCTACACACGACGCCTCTTGCCTTTGGAGCCAAATGCCGTCAAAGCACCACCATGGAAGGAACAGTCTGCGCCGCAAAATGAATTGTCAGGTGTCGACAGACAAACAAGGAACATTGAGGCGACATTCAGCGGCGGCCTGGATTGGATTGGAGCGAACGGATGTTGGACCACGGATGTGCACCCGTCTTTCCACTACATCATCTCGAGCTTTGTTGGTTCAACTATCCTTTGACATTCTTCCGTTGCCCTTTTCTTGCTGAAGCGTCACGGTTGTGACCCCTTCACGTTGTCTCTGCGTTTGTTGGCTTCCATCCGAATTCCCCAGCAGTTCGGTCAATACCCTAACAATAAATACCACACCAACAAGGCGGAAAGATGTAGAGGTAGTCCCGGATCTGAATCTCTCTACAACAACGACGACAGTTCTCCCATGCTAACGCAGGATCCAACAGTTACCGGAGCGAGCACGGATCATGCATCGGCCACGCGTCGCGGGAACTCGCGCCCAAATAACTGAACTACCAAGATAACCACAACATTTCGTCGTCAGCAGGATAACGCAGTCATTTATGCTTGAGAGGCCCCGTCAGCAACCACCATCGCTGTGTCTCCTGCTTCCTAGGTCGCCGGACGTGTTATTTCTGCTTCCCCAGTGTAGTCTTGCGGCGCCCATGGACCCCCCCTATCGACTGGTCTCGTCGTTTCCATATAGAGAGGATGATCAGCCAACCTCATCCGCAGTCACCATCGTGCCATCATTTCATCTTGGTTAAAAGCCCCGGAAAGGGATCGCGATATGAAGAGGCTTGCATCTACTATGGGGAAACGCCACTTGCAGGAACTTCCACGCGCTACCAACGGCACTAAACGACCAACAGACACGTCAAACTATACGAGCAATCAAGCGATCCACGGGTGCCTGAGTTGGGGGCCTCGCTTACTCTTCGGCTATCTTTCCCTGATCCACTCTACGCAACAAACACCTTGCTCGCTTGGGGGAGTATCATCAATGCGCCTCCAGTGCCGAAACAGGCCTGTCCGGAATGTCCTGCACGCCACCCATGATCACTACTTTGCAATCGATTGATTCCCGAGTCGCAAACTGGGAGGATAGATGGGGATGTCATGTTCCACCTGGCCTCCACTGCGCAAATGTTCGAAGCTGGGCACCAGACAGTCTACTTGTCGGGCAGTGAGTGGCTTTGTGCCAGGTGGACAGGTCATCTCTCAACTAGGTCGCAATAATCGCTGTCAGAAGCAATCACACGTCAACTCTACAAGAAGCCTTCTTTGAGACGGGTGGGGAAAAAGAGAAACCACTGTCTCACAGCGTTATCGTGGCTTATCGCTGTCATCGGGTGCAGACGCAATCTCACATCCGATCCTCCAAAATCCTGTCTTCGATCCAGTCATTATCCGATCAACGAATAGGCTCTGGACGGGTGACGCCGCGTCCTGGCACAGACATTGCGGGATTGTTCCTATGATAACGTGCCTGGATTTAGACGTACACAGAGAGCGCCCAAAGGCTATCTGCTGTCCGCTACGTCCCTGACCGCCCGGGTGTATGACTAAATCTCACCAGTGTGAACGTCCAAACAAGGTACGAGGGGTCGACCTTTGATTAACTTGTTTACATCCCTTGCTTCCCCCCTACCGTTCCTCTTTCTGGTGCTTCCTTTCGCCCTGCTATCCTCCCTTTTCTTATCATCAGTGACGTCAAGGCACAGTCCTCTGTTTACCAAACTCCAAACACGATGGAATAGCTGTTGAGGCTCAATCTGTATCAGTGGTTCTTTATTGCCGTGATCTTATGCCGTCCATGGTCCGGGACGAGGCTATATCAACCATACGAAGCTGGGCATCTCGGCTTTCCATGCCAAGGTCGAAGAATCACCAACGATTGCTCACCATTCCATTCTATTATCACGAAACAACCAAATCGGTCAAGCTGCATCTAGAAACTGGGAGTCAAAATTCGGTTGATATGTCAACACACTTAGGAGGAGACGAGGCTGCAACGTGCACTGCTACCGCCAAGCCTTGAAGCCAGGGACACGAGAAACACCAATGCCAAAGCTCCTTCTGTAACATGTTTCCTCCACTCCCTTCCCCGCCATCGGTTACATAGGCGAGGTGTAGCTCGCGCCCATTTAGGATTATCCGCGCACACCGAGGGCCACTCGGTGAGCGGCTCTTTATTCGGCGGGTCAACCCGCTCCTCCTCGCCTCCTTGTCCTTGTCCGTTCGTTCTCTGCAACCCACATGGTTGTATCGCCGACTTTGCCTCGGATGACCCTATACCAACCCTTGCTTTGAAGGAAGCATGTGGAGAAGTCTAGAACCATGGTTCTCGCAAAGGAGAGAAACTTCCGTAGCATGGAACTTCGGCCCGGGTGGCAGTCGGCCCTGTTCATGTACTAGACCCCTCTCGCTAGTACCTACTTGGCATCTCTTACCACTACGTATCGCATGCTCGGACGTAACGGCTTTGATCTGCCGTCTAGGCGCAAGCGCGCCTGTCACTTTGCAACGTCGGGGAGATGTTTCTGCCCTGGTTTGAATCCTCCATATTATGGAAATGCCGCCAGAGACACCTTGTCGTGGTATTTCACTGCATCGACGTTACAAATCTGTACCGGACCATGCAGTTACCCCATGTATGGCACGATCTCCGGCTTGGAACATGCCAGGTAGGCACACCAGTCTTGAGGTGCTGGGTGATACGTACTTTGGGCTTCTACCCAGTACTTGAAGGTAGCAAAGGGTTTGAGACATTGTGATCAAACGATGTCTACCTTCTCCCCCGCTATTACATATCAAAATGACTGGCTCTTCCTGAAGTTGGGAGTGTCTACTATACCAGGAAAGTTAACCAGTTGGCAGGTTCAGTTCCTCAGTCGAGTTGCATTCAAGGCCCTCGCCCTGTCGAAATCGCTTGCGACATCAGACATATCCGTTTGCTCTACAAACCTATCCTCACGGAGAATTCATCCATCCTACCCTACAACCAACTTCAGCTGTATGGAGAAGAGGCAGCTTTCCCCGCCGATGTGATGCAGCTCGCCTTATATGGAATGAGAATCCTTAGTTACACCGGCATTTCTACGGCATGGACGCCGAGGTGCCTCATTGAGCTAACCTCGTCTACGATCACTGAACTTGTTGCGCAACGGCCATACCGGGGGTTAAGTTTTAGAAATGGAGAAACTTGTAGATGTCAACAGCAGGTAAACTTTCGAATAAGGTCCTGATCGATGTACCAGTACTTTGCCCATTACATGAGTATGAATTGGCTGTTCACGTTGATACCTACAAATCTCGCTATGGGGCTTTTATCAATACCGGTATCGTCATTGTCATGTTCTTGCTCTCTTTCCTTTCTTTTATTTCTTATTTTATTTTATTTTATATTTTTTGTCTTGACTCTTGGCTTTCCCAGTCGATGTCGTTGATGATGAGTGTCCTTCTCCACCTGTCACACGGACATATGCCACACTCCTGGTGTCATACGAGAAAGACCTACATGTATGCAGATCGCTAGGTGCCTTGGAGCCTCAGGTGACAAGGACCCGTACGTACTGGATACGTACCGTTCCCTTTGGCATAAGAAGGCCTTGAAGCCCAGCCTTCCCCTAGAGGTTGAGAGGATCAACAAGGCCTTCGAGACCAAAGTATTTTATGAGCTGAATTGAACTACTGTTCCAAGCCCAAAACTCTGCCCTTGTCACACCATCAATGCCATTTGCATATAATCCAATTGTCTGCCTGGCTCAAATACATACGACCATACCCACTGGAAAACTCGGGATCCCGTCCGCTCTCCCATAGATAAGCCAGTGAGGGCCAGACTAGTAGTTGGGTCGGTGACGACCAGCGAATCCCTGGTGTTGTATGTTTTTTTCTTCGTTATTTTTTTTGTCTTGTATCTTATTCTTCCATCTTGTCTTATTCCTCCGGTTCTTCGGTGCAGCGTTGCTGGAGGACTGTGGTTAGAACACGACTTCGCCAGAGATCTGAAAAGCAGCACGGGAATGATAATAGGATCAGAACAACGAGCAATTAGTTAGAAAAAGCATCAGAACACACACAAAGATACATCATCACCTAGACCCAACCTGAAAAGGCTACATCCAGACCACCACGAGTACGTAATATCCAATCTCTCTCTCCATCGGGTCATTGCTACTACTCAAGCAGCCCCTACTTCCCATCTTTGTCTACAAAATCTTCATATCAGCCATTTCAACATCAACAAGGCATCAAGTGTATGCAGATGGATGACATACGTGTACCGCACCAGATAGAACCCGCCTTGTTTCTCTGACCACACGAAGAATCGGCACATTTGTCTGTTCCATTTTCATCAGAGATTGTCGTGAAGAAAGCTGCATGCACAACAAAGGGAGATAGGTGTGCTTACGAGTGGAGCAATACTGGTGTTGTTTATTACCGGAAAACACCTTGTCGTTCTCGCAGCCGTCGGCGTTGCAGTAGATTGAGTTTGGCATTGTGACTTGTGTTGGTGGAGGGCGCTGGAGCTGAGTGGGTTGGCGCTGAATTTGCTTGTTGAAGATTTGGATGGGATGGGAAATGGTTGTTGGGCTGGAGGAGATTGATAGAGTTTGAAGGGCTGTTGCTGATGAAGACGGAGAAAGCTGAGACTCATGGAGTGAGATCCGACATTTATAGACACATCGACACTTTAAGTCCGTCATTGAGATCACTGTGGTCGTGGACGTAGGCAGTGAGAGAGCCTGTTGTCATTTTGAACCACAAGGCTGCGACGATCACGGAAATGCGGCAAACATATGACTGTTCAGCAACAAGGCTTCAGCCATCCTGCATATTCATGACAGTTGAGAGGTCAGAGAGCTGACAACAATTGGTTGGCAAGGCGGGGTCAAAGGTGCACTTTAAAGTTGTGTGACCTTGGCTTCGATCAGGTCAACAATATTTTGACGTGTTGCGGTCGCAGTCTTGCGACCTTTTCTGACATATGTTAGATGTGGATAGACACTCCGTGAAGAAAGAAGAACTGGATACTTGACAAGCCGGTAAGCTATCATAGGATGATGCTGTCACTGTTACTGCGTCTTGAACGCCGATGCCAACCGACACTAAACGAATGTGAGTTGTTCCGTCGACGTCTGTTGGTTTTGATACACGCTGGTGGGTGCAGAAGATGACCTCTACGACGGCGCAAAAATTGAGCAAAGAGTCCGCCAGCCACATAGACTGCCGCGACGCTGATGACAATTGGCCACTGAAAGGAATTTGGGCTGGACCAGATGATGGTAAGTGCCCAAGCCAACATGTCGAACATGTTCTGGAACGACGCTTCCACCGAGGAAAAGATGCCTCTGCGATCGTCTTGGACTTCCTATACCCAAGGAAAGACTTGTTAGTAGCAACGCAGAGCTCGAGTAGACTGGACTGAAGGGAAGTGACAAAGGCCGGGCTAGGCTTACATCTTGCACAATGTTTTGTACCGAGAGGTCAAACCCCCAAAGACCAACGCGGCTGAACGCCACGGCAACGACAAGCCCAACGGCAGACATAAGGCTAGTGGCCTCATAGCCCTTCCCGTAGTAGTAAAAGAACCAGGAGACGCCGCCGGCTAGCCAGGTAATCTGCCATGTAATGGACCACAAGCCCGTGCGGAGGACTCCGATGCGCTTCATCAGACGGGGCGCGATCCAGGTGGCGCTGAGCTCGAAGATTGTCGAAATGCCGCGGATGATGCCCACTTGCCACAGGGTGAGGTTGGAGGCAAGCAGGTAGGTCAGCATCTGGCCGGAGAAGGAGAGCACCGTGAGGTATAGTAGGGAGAGGGAAAGAGAGGGGATGAAAGCTGGATGGCCAAAGTAGAGACGCAAAGAGGGAATCATGAGCAGCTTGCGCCATGATATGTCCCCGAGCCACTTGCCAAGCTGAAAACGTGTGCTGCTGCCAGCCTCGCCATCGACCATCGAGAGCGGCTCCAACGACTGATCAGTCGGTGCCTCCTCCGGAGCAGGACGACCAAGCCCCGGCACCCTCCGAAACACCGTCTCAATGCAAAGATACTCCACCAACACCGACGCCAGATTCATCCCCAGCGTCGTATACACAGCCGACTTCACCGACACCGCCGCAATCAACGCAACCGTCAACGGTCCCAGCAACTTGCAAAACAAATCAATCCTCCGCATTCTCGCATTCATCTTCCTCCTCGCCTCGTCGTTTCCCTGCGTGATAACCACCACCCAATCCCTCTCCACCGCAATCAAATTCACCCCCGCAGCCAGCTTTTCCACGCAAGCCAGCAACACACTGGCTCCGAACAACCCATCAACAAGCTTCGACGCCCTCCATCCTACCCGCAACTCCAGTACCGCCCAAAAGAGACCACATGAAGCAGCGACAGCTAGCCGCTGTCCAACGATGGAGGCGCGGACAACAGTCAAGCGATGAGCGGTGTCAATCCAGTGACCGACGGGAACGGCAAAGATGATGGCGGCAAGGTTGCGAGAGAGCGCGTAGAGGGAGACGGGTAGGAGGTTGTCGGGGAAGATGGTGGCGAGGAAGTAGACGACGCCGGCTTCGAAGAGGCGAGAGTTCCAGGTGGAGAGGAAGTGCGAAGTGTAGAGGCGGAGGGTTAGGGAGCGGCTGATTCTTGGGATGGGAGGTGAAGAATTTGAGGGGGCACCGTTGGCTGCTGGATCATCGTGAGCACCGCGATCACGGCTGGTCGTGTTGTTGTGATCGGCGTTCGGATGCGGCGGTGGTGCTGTGGAAGACTCTATGTTCACGATGGCATCTGGAACATCATCTTGAACTGGGAGAACCCGGGCCAGTTCGATATCGTCATCGCCGGCAATTTTGCGCGCCGGTTCGGTCGGCTGATTCCATCCGGCCATCCCGTCGTCACCGGCGCTCTTCCGTCCGCAATCGGCTTTGTCGCGTTCTCTGCACCACCAGTCACAGCGAGTTATATCGTGAAATAATCGTTTGCTGGGGAAACCCAGATAAAAAAAACGTAGGCCCGCGCAAGGAGCCTCTGGATAGCGCAAAATATGTACAAGAAAGAAGATGTTTGGTTGTGGTGTGCAAGAAGGAAAAAGGAAGGAGCCAAGCAATTTGCTTGTATCTGTCGTCGTCCTGGCCCGTGCACACGCGTCCCCTGCTCATCAGTTAGTGCAGCTCCTGAACACAGTGTTGCTCCAAAGTCGAAGAGCTACAGAACGGCATGGCAATCAGTCAAGATAAACTGTGAGCCTTTAAAAGGTCTCTGGATAACATATGAGAGCTTCCTCCATGTGGTAACAATCTTTGTTTTGGATACGCCTGCTCAGTTTGGAAAGCCCTGACTTCCTAACGGAAGTCTTGCGCTAACAGCTTTTCCGGGGAGCACTGTATTTTCAGGGTCCTCCGACTTCTCCCGCTTTCACACCACACCCAACCTCCAACAAACACTCACAACAGAAATCATACACGACACTTCCACCGTGTACAAGCAATCAATCAGCAATTGGAAACAATAAGCATACATCATGAGTGGATGATACATATATATCTACGAACCAGACTGTAAGTCATCTTTCGCGGCCTCTCCTCCCGCAGACCAGAACTATCGAAACCACCGGTGCCGATGACCAAGATAGCGATCCAACATCTCCTCCGCAGCCTCAGACGGACTGGACATTCAAAAGCGCAGCATGAACCAACTTCGCAATACCCAACACCTTCTCCTCCTCAAACTTCCTTGCAACAATCTGCACTCCCACCGGCGCACCATGGTAAATCTCTGGATCATCTGTTCGTCAAACACTTTGTCAGCCTCATCAAACATCTTCAACGACTCCATAGAGTATTAGGTACTCACAAGTCTCCCAATTTGCCCTATCAACCTTATTCACCGGCTCATAAGCCTCATCAACCGCATCAACCCCCCTATCCGCCTTCGTAACCGGGATCACCGCCGCGCTATAATTCAGCAAGTTGACCACCTCCGTATAACCAAGGTGGTAATACCTCCCCGGAATCACGGCAGCGTGGGGCGCGACGGGCATGATGATGGCGTCGACTTCTTGGCCGTCATCATCTCCGGCTCCTGACATGGAGTTCCAGTAATCGGAGTAGGCTTGCTCGTAGGCGAGACCTTGGACGGTCAAGTCTTGGTATTCGAGTAGCGGGATGGGGTCTTTGAGGTTGAAGTATGCTTGGAGGTCGGCGATGAGGGGCTCGCCGGATAGGAGGAGGTTGTCGTGGACGTCGCGGGCGCCGTCGGCTAGGAGGAAGGAGTACTGGTGTGTGTCAGCACAAAGAGACGGGAGAAGAAAAGTGGATGGAACTTACGTGGATCTTCTGAGCAATTGCATGAGGCGGAGGATTCCAGTCCACAAGCTTATGACCAGCCTTCTTCACTGCCTGAGCAACAATCGCCATTCCCCTACGAATAGGCGGATGAGGCTCAACACCGCCGTCTCTCCACAGGATACCCAGCTTCAGTGGCCTATCAGCCTTCGCCTTACCACTCGCGTCCGCACGAGACAATACATCATTAAGAACCTCCTGCCGGTAAGGAATCGGCACAACAGCCGGATCCTGCAACCACGGCCGCGTGGACAACACAGACTTCAAAGCCAGCTCGCACCCCTCAAGCGAAGTGCTCATAAACCCAAGTGTAGAACGGTACGTATTCTGCCCCGGATTCGTATTCGCCGCATCCCGGTACGACACTCGTTCCGGAGTCGGTTTCAGGGAGAAGATACCGCAAAACGCAGCTGGGATCCTCACCGATCCGCCAATGTCGGTACCCACGCCGAGTGTGCTTCCACGCAAGGCCATAAGCGCCGCCTCGCCTCCCGATGAGCCGCCGCAGGAGAGGTTGTGGTTATGCGGGTTGAGAGTGCGGCCGATGATGTTGTTATAGGTATCGCCGATGAGGAGAGTTTGCGGAACGCTAGTTTTGCAGAAAAGCACGGCGCCGCAGGCTAGTAGTTCTTTGGTGATTTGACTTTCGACCTGGTGCGTCTTGGTAGGGTCGGTGACGCCCATGTTACCGCCTATCCAGCCGACGTAGCCCATGGTAGTGTCGACGCCTTTGACGTGGAATTGATCCTTCAGGCTGATGGGTAAGCCATGAAGCGGGCCGACGGGCTTGCCGTTTACTCGGAGATACTCATCGAGTTCTTCCGCTCGCTTGATGGCAGCGTCGAAGAAGATCTCGAGGAGGCAGTTATTCTTTTGTGTTTTGTCAGCTGGTTATTTGTTGACTAACATGTAAGAACAGGAGGTATACAAACAATCTGGTGAGCAACAGCAGCCGTTTTGCAGAACGCCTTCGTGACCTCCACCGCCGAGCGCTTGCCAGCCCTGATGTCGTCGACAAGCGGGACACTGTCCGTTTTGACGATCTCGATCACCTCAGGCTCCAGAAAGCGTTCGATAAAAGGACCTGTAAGATCACGCTGCTTGGCCGCAAGCTCGAGGTCGGCAGGACTTAGTCGCCATTCTGCCGGAATCTTTGCGAGAGTGTCCTCCCGCTTCTTCGCCGCGCGGGCCTCCCAAGGGATGGGGTATTCAGTGGTCATGGTGAGGAAATGAGTGAGAAGCCTGCCTCTAAGAATGAGTCTAAGATGAGGGAAAGCGACAACACAGCTCCGATTCTCAGGCTATCCATGCCTTTTATACGCAGATCATGTCTGCAATATTACGACTGCCGATTGCGGGGAGGGATGCTATGGAGCTTGAGACTGGTGCTATTACTGATAACACTTGGTAGTCTACTCCGCATCTGGTTCGAGACAGCCAATCATTGAAGTAACCAAGTTATCTCCGGGTGCCGATAGCCGGGCTGTATCAAAGTGGCCCGGAGGCTTAGGAGGCCTAGGAATCGGGGCTTCGTTGTCGCTTTCCCTCATCTTACACTCATTCTTGGAGGCAGGCTTCTGGTTGTAGAGGAACATGAAAGGGATTATCGAAGTTGCCTTCGATGACAAATACCGGTTGGAGTTAGAAATGGAAGATGCATTCTTGGATGGAAGCAACGTCCTATCCGTTATCTATACGAGTATGTCCATCCTGTCAATCTCCTCGCTCCACGACCATTTTCAACGATCTCTCATATTTCTTTTCCATCTGCCATCGTTTACCGGATGTTTACTGTACGTCCAGAAGTTCACGGAGACGGAAGCGGCTCCACCTCATCACTAGACGATATGCTCTGGCTAAGGGCATTCTCCAAAGCCGATAGCCGCCTATCGAAGTTCTCCACGGTTGATGCCCAACTCTGGCAGTCAAAAATGCGCCGGGTCATCAGGGCCATGAAGATGCTTTCCAAGCCACAGTGAGGAGGGGATCTCTCAAAGGCCTCCATAAAGAAAGGCGCTGCGGACTCAGAGCTGGCTATGTGTAGCTTTTTCAAGTTAACGCACTTCCCAAGAAAGATCATATCCCCAGCGCCGACTTTCGCCCTCGTAAACTGGAGTCATTGGATCGAGGCTGCAGTAGGGATAAATGACTCCAAAGGGCGACCCCCAACGTCGACAATGTCGAGCTCCATGTTAAGCCAAACATAGCGCCGCTCACCGCCATCCCGTACATCCTCCATCTCGGAGAAGACCTGACGGTAAACTCCCACTGACGAGTTTCACGACAGACTTGTACGATAGCTGGAACCAATGTAAGGGAAGCCACGTTTCTCTCCATCACGTGATGATCATCTGCTTGGTAGTCGGTTCTTGTAGTTGCTCTTTACAAGAAATCAACGTTAAAGAACCGACGTTCCTCAGTCAGCTCCCAAACCCGAGCACGGAACTCAAAAGGCAGGTACATGAACAGAGGCAAGCTGGTAGCAGCCATCTTGCCTACTGTTGTTCAGTTAGGTGGCGGTTTGCTCCTGGTACTGATTAAGGGCGATATTATCAGCGCTTGTGACATCAGACAAAATCCAAAGGGATTGACTGCTGGGGGGAAATCAAAATCGAACTGATCGGCTCGTGACACTTACCTGCTGTAGCTGACTGGACAGGGAAAAGAAAGAACCAGGCAAAAGAGCTAGAAAGAAAAGGATTGCCGCCGACGTGATGGAGAAAGTGTCTTGTATCGTTGTGTTGATCGGGTAAGAACAGAGGTGCGGAAGCCCGTCGCGCGGAACTACCTAGAGGTATGTAATCTTCTCAAATGGGCGAGTGCTGTCTTCGATCCGTGGAGGGGTTGTTCCTGAGACGGTCGATAAACTGAAGGAGACGACGAGCTCAGAAATGTGAGAAATCGCGCTTGTCGCGAGAGGTGATTGTCGACGCGAGGAAGGTGCCGAGTTGACGTGAGGAAAGTGTCGCCGCTGACGTCCACGCCAGGGTAGGGATGTCGTTGTGCTTTGCGCCTTCTGTTACGCTCCGAGAGCCTGCGAAGCAACATAGGTTAGGCGCCGCGCTGCTCGAAGGAGAGATGCCCTGCGGTTTGTGATGCAGGAACGAAAATCGTAAAAGTGTGGAAGAAGAGGTGGTTAAATACTGTAGGTGGTCGTGCGCCGGGATAAGGTCCAAACGCGGTCAAACGTAGGGCGAGCTGGGGCAGAAAGTTGGGAAGGCGGGACTGAATGATAGAGAGGTCGGGAAGTGAAGTGAAGGAGGAAGGAGCGTGCCAGTGAAGGCAAGACACAACCTCACTGTCATCTGAAGCAGCTGCCGTCAAGACGGAGAACTTGAGCAGAACGGTTGGTGTATAAACATACGGGAGATATCTGGTGCGATTCACCTTGAAACGAACTTGCGATAATATAATACCAACATAGAGGTGTATCAAGCAGGTATAAGAAGAACAGGGTGTATTGGTCTGGAGATATCTCTAGGAGTTTGAATGCTGGTGTCCAAATCTGCCTGCCAGAAATGTTATCCTCCTTAGTGTCCCTTTCATGATCTCTTTTCACGGCCACTGCAAACACAGCTTCTTTCCAGGGAAAGAAATGGACACAGTCTTAAATACTTACAGACAATCCTTTATACCTGAGCACCATTCTGTAACTGCACAGTTATGGTACTCATGGCTTTTGTTTGAGCAGGAAGCCCTCATATGTGTAATAGAAAACGGATCGGCGGTCGTATCCCGTTAGACGGATATTTTTTTGGATGACAAGACATGTGATATCTGTTAAAAAGATGGAAGAACTTCCGCAGGTTGCCGTGTATGGTATCATCTTCAAATTGACAAATGGCTGAAGGTCCTCGATGTCTCCCGGGACAGGTTCGCTTTTGGTAATCTCCATTCGCTGGATAGATGCGTGGATGGCGGCGTGCCTAAAGTGGTCGAGTGGAGTGCTCCCTGCGACAACGATATCGAGCTCCCAGTTAATCCAAATATACTTTTGGTCGAAGGAGAAACGGTGAAACGGTTTCTCGGTGAATCCCTTCTTGTAAATTCGCGAACCACGATAAGACGCTCGTTTCCCAGACCATAGCACGTACCTCCCACGGGAGTCGAGGAAATGGATGAAAGGTTCGTTCGGGAGGCCTGTTATCGCAGTGTTCACCGAAGGTGGAAGTGGCCACGGGATCTGGGGAAGATGACATTGCCAGCGATGGGAAATTTTCGAACATGCTAGACAGCGCAAACGAGGTACAATCAGATCTGGGTATAGAACAACGGTGGAAAATGGGAATTACCTGTGTGCCTGATGCTGGTCCTTCACCAGATTTATGGACGACCTGGGCTTCGCATCATGTGGCGCCTAGGTTAAGGCGACACCCTGCCAAGTCCGAAATCGGGGACTCCGTCGCCAGGCTGACTGGAAAGACTGGAGAGGCGTTGAAGGCTGGAAAATGCGACAACGAAAAAGTGCTTGATTGGAGTTGTCCAACAGAAGAGGAGAAACGGAAACCAGTGCGGCCTAAATACCTAGAAAGGAGTGCCAGTGAATGGGCAAGGCCAGTGAATGGCGGCCCAGGGCATGGACTTCCAACAAGAAATAACTCGCATAGCTGTGTCGTGGAAGAAAAGTTTGGCTCTGGCGCTGATTCAACGGTCGACCAAAACATGGTGGTATCAATTGGGAGAATTGGTTGCTTCGTGGGAATAGACCTCGCAAGACCGACAGTTAGTGATATGCGCGAATGATTACGGCAGTACGCTGCATCCTTGGTAACCCCGAATTATGCACAGGGTGTGCCTGGCATCGCACCTGCATTCTACTGTTGCTGATCCGGGCCACGCTTTTTATTTCTCGTGCCTGCTAGCCAACCAACTCTCATAGTCCCTCTGAGAGGAGAGTTAGTTGGCTGGCGAAGCGAACCCACGCAACCGACGAGCACCACGAACAGACGTGGCTTCGCATCTTCTAAGGACCGCGGAAACCATCTCCACCTCACAGTGCGTCCATATGGCGAACGGTCTCGTCCCAGATCTCATCCAGCTCGATGCTGTTGAAAGTTCCCCATCGATCTGTATTGTGTATGATGATATTCCTTTGACAGCAAGGAAGAGGGTTCTTGCGAAAGACACGAAGGAATCTACCCGAAGTGACAGGGCCATGTAGATAAAGCTTCTTTAGCTTTATGAAGGCCTGGAGATGCTGGATAAAGCCGGGATAAAGCCGTGTTCTGTCTATGTCGAGTCGCTGGACGGAGTTCTGGATGCTTTCATGTCTTAGGTAGTACAGGTCGGTCGTATTTACCGCGAGAGTATCGAGCTCCCAGTTGACCCAAAA